GATAGAATCTCAAATCATCATTACTGTCATCCACCACTTTATTTGTAGGGGAAGAGAGGGACCAGAAATATAACTTACTTAGTATCATACCATAGGATAGGCAGGATTTCTCTTTTTTCTTGTTTAAAAAGAAACAAAGTAAGGACTATCAATAGGATGATCTAAGGAAAACTCCCTAAATGATTCTTATTTCTTGTGTCGCTCCAAAACATACAGGCTGAATAATAAAAATCTTAAGTCCTGAGGGACAGCTTCTATTAACAAACTATAAAGAGAACACATTGCTCTCAACCATATTTTAATGAATAGATTAAATATAAAGCAAATGGTTCGGGAGAGGATCCAAAAAAGAAAATAGGACAACAGACTGGTAAAGGCTATCCCTGAACAAAAAGACACAGAAGTCTTATACTTTTCTTGAAGAAAATTAAAACCCTTTGCACAAATTTTAGCATATTAATACGTCAAGCAACTTTGAGCAACATGATCAACTGATTCTCTCATAAGATTTTGGATCACATGAGCCATTTGTTCAGCCATGCCAGTCTCTCTCTCTCTTTTTTAAAAAAAAATATATTTTATTGATTTTTCACAGAGAGGAAGGGAGAGAGATAGAGAGTTAGAAACGTCGATGAGAGAGAATTATCGACCAGCTGCCTTTTGCACACCCCCTACAGGGGATATGCCCGCAACCAAGGTACATGCCCTTGACCGGAATCGAACCCGGGACCCTTCAGTCCCCAAGCCGACGCTCTATCCATTGAGCCAAACCGGTGCCGGCCATGCCAGTCTCTTTTTATTCTTGGCAAACTACTACATTGTCAAACAACTGTTTGCTGGGGATGGAGACAGTAGGTGAACAGGATCCTAGTGAATTACTATTCCCTATCTACGTTCCACTCTAAACATGGGAAAAGTAGATCCCAGTATTAAGCGCCATGGAATTTGTAGGTAAATCCCATTAAGTTTAAGGTTCCCGTTTTTCTTTCTGACTAATGTATAAAGAAGTTCTTTGTTTTAAATGTAAGCAATCACAGGTGGTTAATTTTTTTTTTAACTTTTTATTATGAAACCAAAGCAAAATAACAGGATTTCAAAAATTAAAATACAGAATTTTAATTCTAAACAAATATTAAATCTACACCCAGAACTAAAAATCAGTTTACCAATATTTAAGAATAAAGGGAAATGGCTAAAATGTTCACAGTCATTATTTCTTATTAGCCTCAGAGTTGCATCATTTTCCTTTGTGCTTCACTTGGACAGGATACAGAATTTCTTTCTCATCTATCTTTGTTACTGTAGACTATAACTTCAGAGTTTTTGTCTTCCTACAGAGTTCTTTATATGTTCCTTCAGCAAATATGCGAGCACCTGCCTATTGGACTGAGATGATGTGGACATGAAGAGTCCATCAGTGATCCTGTCCTAAGATGTTCAGGGGAGGTAAGACACCAACAAATAATCAATAAATATAAATAAATTTATACGAGGTATAAAGTAATACAGCTTAAGTATAGATAAAATATAAAAATAGGGGAATTTCAAGGAAGAAGAGATTACATTCTGCTATTGCAACTGAGGAATGCTTTGTGAGGATAGTATTTGGGTTGGGGATGGACTGGTCCTTCAAAGGCTTCAAAGTGGTTCTGAAGGTGGTGGCCTTGATTTCTGGGGTGTAATCTTCTCAATGCTAATTTAAAACTCCTTATGTGTCTATCTCTTCAAACTGCTCATTTTTTAAAATGATCAAAAATATTAACATTGTTGTCTATATAAACAGCATTGGGGTACTTAAATTAAAAGTTAATTATACCTACTATAAGGTTTAAGACTCTGTTATTTTCTAAACTCTTTCCCAGGTAAACCATATTTGAATTGCAGAAGATGCCTAATTATTGAGCCATGACTTTTAAGTAATCAACTGGGCAAAACCTTCTTGCTTTAGGTGCTTTCTCAAGTCTAAACCTAAACTTACATGAATAAAATGAAGGAGATGAAATAAATGGCTTAACATTCAAAAATGAGATGATAAGAAAAAATGGCAACAGTGAAATGATATATACTAACCACAGATTTCTTTGTATGAAATGTTTTAATTATGAGCCATTCACCATTACAGACTTTAAGTCTTAATATTTCTTCTTTCCTATGTAAAAGCAGATAATGAAAACTGCCTATCTCAAGTATGACAGAATTCCATAGTATGAATGAGAGTAATAGTAATGTCTGCTTACACATCTGCATGCTTCACTAAAGAGCTAGAGAATGCTCCTGGTTTCTCAAGTCAACAAAGCAAATTCAGTTACACATTTTTCCTGCCAAAGTTTCAGTTGAAATACAACTACTACTTTGTCTTTCAATAGCACCTCTTATCCATCATACAAACCTTTTGACATTATTTTCTCTACCCTCAATATTCGTGTAAGGTAATGAAGAGAGGGAGCAAGGATTTTGTTTGTTTTTGGCAGATGAGAAAACTTAACATTAATTTTGAACCCAAATTGACAACATATTTGAAAATCATCTAGAATTATTTTAATCCTTATAACAATGTCATATCCCAGACCAAGATCAAATCTTAGGATATGAGACCAAATATCAACATTTTCAATACACATGATTCCAAAATACAGCTGAGGTTGAGACTACTGGTTTAGATACCTCATTCTACTGCTCAGCACCAATGAAAAAAGATTCCATTTCCTTGAACATTGTAATAGTTTTACTATTCTGTACAGCTACTATTGGTCTCCAGTAACAAATTCATTTACCAGGTTATAAATAAAGGCTCTTCATTCCCCCAATTCTTGTGCTAACTATGAATCTCCATTTTATAAAATTTGCAAATGGGATATTAGTGAATTTAAATCTTTGAGATAAGAATAGCTTGTTATTAAATATTTAGGCAATTATTTAATTCTAGGTTTGATATGCAATAACCATGTGTTTCTGTTTTCCATTCAGCACCTTCAAAAGTTTGTTACAAAATAAATGTTTACTAAGTCAAAACAGAAGTTATAAACAAAAGAAAGCTCTTGGAATTGGCTGTATCACAATTTGAAAAAAAAACATTTAAAGGATTTTTAAATTTTCTAACTAATTCAATTTTCATCCTGACCAGTTGTCTTCTTTAAATTTTAAACACTTTACCAAATCGATTTATTCCATAGCAAGAAAAATCAATTTATGTAGCATCTATACTCTTTAATATATGTAAAATAATTTTGCTTTGTACTATTGAAAATGATTTCCAGGTTTCTTCTTGACATGGGTATGGAAAAGAATCTGTAACAGATTTTATCTTTAAGCAACATATCAAACACACAACAAATATTTGTAGCCTGTCACGTGATAAAAATAAATCTTTGTTCATGACTGAAATCCCCTGCTTCATAGGATATTGATAACTTTAACTCTCAAGCAGCAACCCAAGACCCCCAGCCTGCTGCTTGCTGTCCCTAATTTTATTAGACTTAAGACAAAATATACATACAACCATAACCTAAAAAAGTACAAAGATTCCACTTGCCTTAGTCAATTCTTATCACAAAGATTTATCTGAAACCATACAATATATACTTTCATACAGAAAGATGCTTGTTTCTCTTCTAACAAAAGAAAATATCAAATCATATATGTTAGATTTGAAAGAGTATTAGTGACATTGGTTATTAGTCAAAAATTCTGAATAGGAATTAATGTTAAGTTCTTCTACAATGAACCCTTCAAAATATTGCCAACCTGAAGTTTTCAGCATAAGGTGTTTTATTTCAAGTCCCATGGGGGCAATTATCTACAATAAGATTAAGAACATTCTTAACCTAGGTTCAGGTTGGCACTGTTCCAGGTGGGTAAGTAAACATTTTCTTGATAACCCAATGAAGAGTTTGAGGCTTAGATTGTTGCATGTTGTAAACAATATGAAAATTTTAAAAAAAATTATAATATCTACAGCAGTATAAAGTTACAAAATAAAAGAACCATTAGTCAATTCTTTTCCTAAGATCTGTGACTAACAGCTTTCATATTTGAGGCCTACAAGAGCAAATACCAATATTCTGTGTTTTATGAGACACTTTCTCAGAAGGCCAAAAAAAGAAAAACAAAAAACAAAAAAACCCCAGATACTATAAGGTGGACATTATTATATGTATAATTTGAAAGAAATTTGCCTCCCCTCAATCTTTATCCAGTATATTAAAATATTTTTATAATAATTTTGATCATTAAAAAAAGGACTATAATAGTTATGGAAGCTGTAAACCAAATCTAACACAAAATGAGCCAATACAACACACCTCCTCTTAAAATCCTCTTCCTTGTAGTTACCTAATTGTCCCTTAATGTTATTTTAATTTTGTACCATGTAGTGGTTTTTAAGAAACTGAATCAGAACAAAGCAACCCTTCTGTCCTGTTTGTTTTTACACACATACTGTATATACAACTTTTAAAATAGCTGCACAATTTTACATCCCACTGTTAGAGAAGTGCAGTCCAAGCAGACCATGCTTCTCAATATATTAAAAATATTAAATAAAACCCAACCAGTTTCATATTTTTCTAATAGTCAAGCTGGCTGGGGGGAAGAGGGTCTGAAAACAAAACAAAACAGGCAGATGTAAAACAGTACCAGTCTTTCTTCATAAACACACTACTTTAAAATCTTGCTATTTTCCTTCTTATCCCTTTTACAGCATCTCTAAGATCTCACCTTAAAAGTTGGAAATAACACATTGCTTGCTTAGACAAATTCTGTTGCAACATGCATATGTCAACTGCCCACTCAACCAACTGCAACCCTGAGGATTTTCTGGCCCAGTAGAAAGAGGAAACACTAAGATTATCTTTGCTGTAGAGTTGCTTCTACAGTTAACATTTTCATGTGTTTTTCAGGATGTTTCTTGGACATGCATGTATGACACTGTCACTTCATGATTTTACTTTTCACAAGCAGATAGCTCCTCTACTCTGTCTTTCATCCCAAGAAAGCCACTGTCATCCATCCAAAGGTTTTCCAAGGTAAACCAAAGTCACTTCCGTGTTGCCATACACGGCAGAAACTGCTGGATACAGGCAGGCCTTTGGAAGTCCTCTAAAGGCAACCCCCAGGAACTCGTATCCACGTTCAAAAGCTAAAGTCTTATCTTCCATGTCCAAGATGACTCGAATTCTTTCTCCTATCTGCAAACAGATATCAAAAGATTAGAGAGGAAAAAAACCACAGAGCACATAGCTAATAGAAACATAATACAAATGAACAGGCTGAAAATATTAATAACTAGAGGCCCAGTGCATGAAAATTCTTACAGTGGAGGGGGTGGGGAGGATCCCTCAGCCCGGCCTGCTACCTCTCACAGTCTGGGAGCCCTCAGGGTTGGGGGCTGACCCAGTGATCAGGGGAAGGCGACGCCCCATCACACCTCTGCTGCTGCCACTGCCGGCAGCACAAGCCTCGGCTGCTCCTGGTTACCTGAGCCTTGGGCGACCCTGGGTGGCTGGGCAGTTGCCATCCGAGGCTTGCATGCACCTTGGGCCAGTCCTGGGCAGCTGGGGGACTGAGAAGACTGGGGGACTCTGGAGATAGGCAGGAGCCGCCTTGGCAAGGCTGAGGGGACTGGGTGCCACCATCTGTGGCTGTGAGTGACGCCATCTCTGAGGGCAGGCAGTCAATTAGCATATTCCCTCTTTATTGGCTGTAGGCATCACCATCTTTGATGGTGTGACTGTCAATTGGCATATTCCCTTATTGTTGGCTGTGGGTACCGCCATATTTGAGGATGGACAGCTAATTAGCATATTCCTTATTGGCTGTGGGTGCCATCATCTTTGCAATGGCATGAGGGTCAATTAGCATATTCCCTCTTTATTAGATAGGATATATTATCTAGAAAAACCAAAAGAGAAGATTTCTAGATAGGGAGAAACATACAGAAGAATATATATCAATTTTATCATAACTGCTTGACTTGTTTTTAGTTAAGACTTACATGTAATATACATTTAATACTGAAAATTCAAATGTCCCCTAGAACTGTCCTCTAATCTTATTTACTCTTTGTTTCCCGGCTTTTCTTAAGAAGGATATCACTAAAATCTATAACTTGGTATTATATTTTACTCAAAAAAGGCTATCTAAGTAATCTTTTCAAATTACTAAAAGCATTCACACACAGATACATGGGTATTATTCATCCATAAAAAATATGCACCTTGCCCTAGCTGGTTTGACTCAGTGGATAGTGTCGGCCTGTGGACTGAAGGGTCCCAGGTTTGATTCTGGTCAAGGGCCCATGCCTGGGTTACGGGCTTGATCCCCAGTGTGGGGCATGCAGGAGGCAGCCAATCAATGATACTCTCTCATCATTGATGTTTCTACCTCTCCCTCTCTGAAAAAAAAGAAAAAGAAATATATATATATATACACACACACACTGCCCCACCCTCAGTGCATGTCATAGCTACCAAACGGTCGCTTAGGCTTTTATATATATAGATATGTACTTTTTATTGTATTAAAATATATACGATATTATAATTTTAACCATTTGTAAGTGTATATAATTCAGTGGCATCAAATATATTCACAGTGTTGTATAATATAATCATCCATTATCTATACCCAAAACTTTATCATCTCCAATATAAACTCTGTATTCAATAAAAATAACTCCCCATTTTGTTCTTCTCATCCCCCAGCCTCTGATAACCTCTGTTTTACTTTCTGACTATGAATATGAACATTCTAGGTGCCTGTTATAAGTGGAATCATACAATATTTGTCTTTCTGTGTCTGGTTTATTTCATTTAGCATAATGTTCAAGGTGCATCCATGTAGCATATATCAAAGGTGTTTTTTTTTTTAAATAAGTGACTACTGGGAAGCAAACTCAGGTCTGTCATATATATATATATATATATATATATATATATATATCAATTTAATACTTCCCAATTATGACAATACCTGCTGTTAATACTTCCCTTTGTTGTATTTCTTATCACAAATAACTACTAACATCTGCTTTTTTCCTCCCTTTGCCCATCAACCCATTTAATGGGCCTAAACACATCCTAATTATCATTACCATTACCACCAACAAGACATGAACAATAGTAACAAAAATATAGAAATGAAAAGTTAATATTTTGTTGGGTATTTGTTGTGGGCTTTATTTGCATATCATCTACAGAAGATGAAAAAAAAGACAGTATCCCTCCTGGTGAAATTTACAACTTTGCTTCACCTTTGATTGAGCATATAGCATGCACACAGTAAAGGGAGCGGAAAGCAGAAGTCTTACTAGCTTCAGGTGTCCGAGGGCAAAACTTGGAGATGATAGAGTAACTGGAACTTTAAAGTGAGAGCTCGAGAAGCAACAGAACCACTAAGAGGATGAGCCCCACAATCTGAGAATAAACCCTGCCCAATTCTTGTGTGATCGCTCTTATTACACAGATACAGAGGAAACCTCTAAGGAACTAGGCTGAAAAAGTAGCAATGAGAAGTAAAAAAAATAAAATTGAACAAAGCCATTAGCTGCTGCACACTATGGGGAGACAGTTTACAGTTTGAGTTAAGACAAGTTAACTGCCTGCTAGAACAAGAAAGCCGTGGTGGATGTGAAAACAGGAAAGTGTAACTCCTATCTGGGGGGGGGGGGGGGGGGAGCAGTCAATAGAGAACCAAGATGGTGGCATAAGTAAAGGGCGGTACTCGCCACTTACACAACCACATCAAAATTACAACTAAAATAAACCACCACCATCATTCAAAACCACTTGGAAGCTGACTGAATGGAAATCTTACAACTAGAGAAGAAAAGAAGAAAGAACACAGAGACTGATAGAGGGGCGGTGGGACAAAAATGGGCTGGTCCCACACCCCCATAGCTTTTCCAAATGGGAGGGCTATCTCAGCTGTGAGGAGCAAGGTTCCCAGCTCCAGCCCAGGGTTCCAGAGCTGGGAGGAGAAGTCCCTGTAACTTTGGGCTGTACAAACCAGCAGGGATTGTGCCGGAGTGATACAGAGGCTGCCCAAGTCCCCGCAGTTCCTCTTAACGGGCAGGTGCACAAACTTACAGTCGGCTCTCCGAGTTCCAGTGCTAGGGCAACGTCTCAGGGAGATCTAGAAGCATATAGTGTCCAACTGGATTGTCTGGCATCAGAGCAAGAAGTGTGTGTGGAGGGGACCTTTCTCCCAAACAGGGGTGCCTGCAGGGTTAATTGTTTCTATACTGAGACCCCCAACCCCCCCAGCACAGAGCTGACTGACAGCCATATCGGAGTTTCTGACAGTGGTTAGCACCTAAGTACCTCCCAGGAAGCTCAGAGTTGGCAGACAACACAGTGAGCTGCAATCATCACAAAAGTAGAATCCAAAGGCAGCTCCCAGGAGGCACTAATCTCTGCTGATGAATGCCACTCACTTTCTTTTTTCCTTTTTCAAAAAATCTTTCTGCTTTATTTATTTGTTATTATTTTAGTCTCTATTTTCTCTTTCATATAATTTTTCTCTTCCCTTTTATTTTTTTCCCTTTCCTCCTGCTTTCTCATCTTTTTTCCTTTTCTTATTTTTTAGTCTATCTGCTCTCTCCTCTATTTTTCTTTTCAAATATTTTTCTTCCTTTTCTCTTTTATACCATTATCCTTCCCCTATTCTTTACTCTGATTTACTTTATTTTATCTCTGCCTTTTCATATTCATTTTTCTTTCCCTTTTTTCTCCTTATATTTTTTTCTTTGTTTTCTTCTATCATTCTTGCTCTCTTTTCTCTTACCTAATTCTTTCTTCTTTTGTGGTTCCTTTTGTTGTTTTTGTAGGGGCCTTGTTTTTATTTTGTTTGTTGTGTTTTTTGCTGTTATTAATCCTCACTCAAGCATATTTTTTTCCATTGAATTTTGAGAGAATAGAAGGGAAGGTGAGAGACAGAAATACCGATGTGAGAGACACACAACTGGTTTCTCCCGCATGTGCCCTACTGGGGCCAGGGATCAAACCTGTAACAGAGGTACATGCCCTTGGCCAGAATTGAACCTGAGATCCTTTATTCTGCAGGCCAATGCTCTAATGACTGAGAAACTGGCTTGGGCTATTTTGTTGTGTTTTGTTCTGTTCTTTCAGCACCTCCACTAGCGCTCGCACAATGCGGTTGGGGGTGAACTTCACAGTCAGCCAGCCTGAGAGGAGATTCCATTCATGAACAGAACAACAGCATTCAAATAACTCACACAAGGGACATTCCTCAAAACAATTACTACATAAGACCAATCCATTGGGACCCATAACAGTTTGATCTAATACATGGAAAAAAATACAAAGGGTCAGCAAAAATAAGGAGACAAAGAAACAACCCTGACATGAAGGAAAAGAAGGAATTGCCAGGAAAGGAACTAAGTGAAATGAAGGCAAACAATTTGTCAGGTAACAACAATATACAATGAAGTCAAGGCAGTCTCTTCAATAATGGTGTTGGGAGTAATTGGACAGATACATATGAAAGAATGAAACTAGATCACCAACTTACACCACACACAAGAATAAACTTAGCCCTAACTGGTCAGGCTCAGTGGATAGAGCGTTGTTGGCCTGTGGACTCGAGTCCCAGGTTCAATTCTGGTCAAAGGCATGTACCTTGGTTGCGGGCACATACCCAGTGGGGTGTGTGCAGGAGGCAGCTGATCAATGTTTCTCTCTCATCGATGTTTCTAACTCTCTATCCCTCTCTCTTTCTCTCTGTAAAGAATTAATAAAATATGTATTTTTAAAAGGAATAAACTTAAAATGGATTAAAGATTTAAATATAACTCATGAAATCATAAAAATTTCAGAAGAAAGCATAGGCAGCAAAATATTAGACATCTCATGTAGCAGAATTTTTACTGATACATGACCCAGGGCAAGAGAAACAAAGGAAAAAATAAACAAATGGGACTACATCAAGATAAAAAGCTTCTGTATAGCAAAAGAAACCATCATCAAATTGAAAAGGGAACCCACTGTATGGGAGAACATATCTGGCAATGATACATCTGATAAGGGGTTAATTTCCAAAGTATATAAAGTGTTCATACAACTGAACAAAAGAAGATAAACAACCCAATTAAAAAATGGGCGTGGCCAGGGTGGCTCAATGGTTGAGTGTCAACTCATGAACCAGGAGGTCACAGTTTGATTCCCAATCAGGGCACATGCCTGAGTTGCATGCTTAGGGCATGCAGGAGGCAGCCAATCAATGATTCTCTTTCATAATTGATCTCTCTCTCTCTCTCTCTCTCTCTCTCTCTCTCTCTCTCTCTCTCTCTGTCTCTCTTCCCCCCTCCCTTCCCTCTAACTTTCTTTCTCTCTGAAATCAATAAAATATATACATGTATTTTAAATGGGCAGAAGACCTGAATAGATACTTCTCCAAAGAAAACATACAAATGGCCAAGAGATATATGAAAAAATGCTCAACATCACTAATTATCAGGGAAGCAAATAAAAATGACAATGAGGCACTACCTCAACAAACAAATGCTGGCAAGGATGTGGAGAAAAAGGAGTCCTGGTACACCGCTGGTGAGAATGCAGAATGAGCCAATCACTATGGCAAACAGTGTGGAGTTTCCTAAAAAAAATTAATAATGGAACTACCATCTGACCCAGTGATGCCATTTCTAGGAATATATCCTAAAAAGCCTGAAACACCAATCAGAAAGAATATATGCACCCCTATGTTCATAGCAGCATTATTTACAATTGCTAATATCTGGAAACAGCCCAAGTGCCCATCAGTAGATAAAGGGATTAAAAAGCTGTGGTACATTTACACCATGCAATACTATGCAACTATAAAAAAAAAAAAAGTATCTCTTACCCTTTGAGACAGTATGGAGGGACCAGGAAAATACTATGCTAAGCGAAATAAGCTAGTCAAAGAAAGACAAGTATCACATGATCTCACTTATATGTGGAATCTAATAAACAAAATATACTGAGGAACAAAAAAGATCCAGTGACATTGAAGCATGCAACAGACTGACCTATTTTGGAAAAGGTGGTTGGGGGGAGGGGCGGAGTGGGAAGAGATTAAGCAATGAACTAACCTGCATATATGCATTATCCATGGATAGACAATAGTGCAGGGAAGGCCTGGGGAGTGGAAGGAAGTGAAGTAAAGGGAGGGAGGTCAATGGGGGGAGAGGACATATATAATACTTTCAACAATAAAGATAAATTAAAAAAAAAAAAAGTAAAGGGATGGGGGGAAAGAGGCACCTTGCACAAGAAAGTAAGCATTAACAAGTATAAGAAAGTTGGAGTGGCTACATTAACATCAGAAAAAATAGAAAAATAGACTTAAAGAAAAGCAATACTGCCTGCCTGGTGTGGCTCAGTGGTTGAGTGTCGACCTATGAACCAAGAGGTCCCTGGTTCGATTTCCAGTTAGGGCATGTGCCTGGGTTTTGGGCTCAATCCCCAGTAGAAGCCGTGCAGGAGGCAGCCAATCCATGTCTCTCTCTCATAGCTATTTCTTTTTTTTTTTTTTTTTTTAATATATTTTATTGATTTTGTACAGAGAGGAAGGGAGAGAGATAAGAGAGTTAGAAACATCGATGAGAGAGAGTCATCGACCAGTTGTGTCTTGCACACCACCTACTGGAGATATGCCCACAACCAAGGTACATGCCTTTGACCGGAATCGAACCCGGGTCCCTTTAGTCCCCAAGCCAACGCTCTATCCATTGAGCCAAACCGGTTTCGACATCTCATAGCTATTTCTATCTCTCTAAGCTTCTCCCTTTCTTTCTCTAAAAGTAAAGAAAAAAAAAAAGACAAGGGATATCACTAGAGTCAGAGAAGGTCATTTCATAATGATAATAGTTAATCAAACTGGGAGATATAACAATGATAAGTATGTATGTGCACCTAAGAAGAGAGTTCCAAAATACAAGAAGCAAAAACTGACAGAAATGAAAAAAAAAAAAAAAAAATAGCAAGTATAATGGAAATTTCAATACTACTCTTCAATAACTGATAGAACAGCTGAAACCGGTTTGGCTCAGTGGATAGAGCGTCGGCCAGCAGACTGAAGGGTCCCGGATTCGATTCCGGTTAAGAGCATGTACCTTGGTTGCGGGCACATCCCCAGTAGGGGGTATGCAAGAGGTAGCTGATCGATGATTCTCTCTCATCGATGTTTCTAACTATCTATCCCTCTCTCTTCCTCTCTGTAAAAAATCAATAAAAAATATATTTTAAAAAAATGATAGAACAGATGGAAGGATATAGAAGATTGAATACAATCAACTTGACCAAAATGTCACTTGTGGAATAGTCCATACAACAACAGAATATATGTTCCCTTCAAGCACACATGCAAAACTTTCAAGACAGTTCATACTCTGGGACTAAGACAAGTCTCAATAAATTTTAAAAAATTGAAATCATACAGAGCATGTTCTCTGAAAAACAAAGACCAAAAGTTTTTCATTACAAAATCACCGCAAGGCTGGTCACAGGATTTTATAGCCAAAGTCCAAATACTCTTCTTAGAGCCTTAAAGCACAGTGAAGAATTCTATGAAAGAAAACCTCAGGAAACTGAATATATTTTTAGTTCTTCTACTTTAGTATCCCTGCCTCAACGTTATTACTGAGGCTAGAACTTTCAAGCCACATGTTTTCCCGAAATATGCAATCTATAATTCCTTAAAATTTATAATTTCTTATCAGATTACTATGTTTTAGACCTATGGGAATCATATAGCTAGCTTTTACAAATAGAAACTATAATTTTGACCCTAAACTAACATAAATATAAGGCTAAGGTGAAAAGAATTTTAAAATGTAGAAGTTTGCCTGAGCTTGCCAGTCTTAAAGAAATTACTGACACATCCAGAGCTTTGAATCCACAGATTACTAAGTAGCAGAGGATATGTGTATGCATACACACAGGTGATTTCATGGGGGTGAGATGTCTGAAAAGGCAGATTTGGAGGTGCCTTAAAGGAAAAATGACAATTTAGAGTACAAGTTGGCAAACTATGGCTCCTGAGCCAAATCTAGCCTACAGTCTATAAATAAGATTTTATTGAAACACAGCTATGCTCATTCATTTATGTATTATTTATGGCTGCTCTTGTGCTATAAAGACAGAATTGAATCGTTGTAATAGAGTCCCTACAGACCACAAAGCTTAAAATATTTACTATCTGGCCCTGTAAGAAAAAGTTTGCCAATGCCTGATTTAGAGCAAAGATGAACTGCTCAAGGTTGAATATGTATTAAGAAACAAATATTGAGATACTAAAAACTTATCAGAATAGAAAAAAAAAAGGCCAGTTACACTATTTAATAAAAAATTACCAAAAAGGACATACAAAGCCACTATATAAAATTTTGCAAATTTAAAACAAAGTAAGGCATGATTTAACAAAGGCCCACATTAAAGAAAATACCTAGTTTCTCACCTGATATTTTGGTGCATTATTGCATTGTGGAAAACTGCCATTGACTTCTCCATTATGTAGTAGATTATTGTCCACCAGATTCCAGCCCCAGCTCTGGTCATCACTGCCCAGCAGTGCCACATAACCTTGGCACTGCATAGGGGCCCGTTTTGTGGCAATTCCAATCACTGCCACAGTGCCCAGAGGGCCCTCCCACCACACTTCCCATGCATGGCGGCCCTCACTGAAACCAATCTTGGTCCTTGCACCATCAGTGCTCTGAGCAATGGGGTTTCGATGTAAAGTAAAGCCATTCTTCTTGATGTAGACATTCCGGGAGCAGTCATTAGTGCTGAAGGCATGTTGGAAAGCACGTACCTGAAAAGATGAAAAAACAGACAAAAAAAAAGAAGTTTGATTTTTCTTAAATATTAAAAGGTACCTAGCCCTAGCCGATGTGGCTCAGTTGGTTGGAGTGTCATTCTGTACAGAGAAAGATTGTGGGTTCGAGTCCCAGTTTGAGCACAGACCTAGGTTACAGATTCAATCCCTGATCGAGGCATGTATGGGAGGCAACTGATCGATGTTCTGTCTCACATCTATGTTTTTCTTTTTATCTCTACCCCCTCTTTCCTTCTTCCCTCCCTCTCTCTCTAAAAGTAATGCAGATCCTCGGGTGAGGAATAAATAAAAATTAAAAGTACCCAAACCTCAGATTATGTGTTTTTAAATAGTTACATATTTTTAACTAATATAAATAAACATTTAAAAAAATTGCTAGTTTTAGCCGAAACCAGTTTGGCTCAGTGGTAGAGCGTTGGTCTGCGGACTGAAAGGTCCCAGGTTCGATTCCGGTCAGGGGCATGTACATTGGTTGCGGGCACATCCCCAGTAGGGGGTATGCAAGAGGCAGCTGGTCGATGTTTCTCTCTCATCGACATTTCTAGCTCTCTATCCCTCTCTCCTCCTCTCTGAAAAAATCAATAAAATATATTTTAAAAAATTACTAGTTTTAGGATGGGCTACTAACATAACATTTAAAATAACCGCCAACTGTTTCATTTCTGACCAAAATTCTAACTCGTGGTATTTCTCCAAATAGACTTAAAATATCAAAATATGTTATATATGAGAATCCATATATTAGAGATGATACTGAAATGTTTATGCATAACATAATGATATCTGGGAACTGCTTTGAAATATCCAGGGTTGGAGTAGGAGTGGGTAGGGTAAACACGAAACAAGATTATCTATTAATTAATTATTGGTAAAGCTTGGAGATAGGTATAGGGAGGTTCATGAAACTATTTTCTCTACTCTAGTTTATATTCAATTATTTTTATGTAAAAAAAAATAAGAGATGCATAGTTTTTTATGTTGGCAATCCTGACAACTAAAAAGAATATTTTAAGTAAAAGAGAGAACTTAGTCATAGCAGCTCTAAAGTTTATGAAAAATTTTAATAACCACAAACGATATTAGATCCCCAGCCTCCTGGGTAGATATTACTCATACACTGAGACAGCACCAGTCTCATTTTACCAAATCAAATAATCCCCCTAGATAGCATCTAAATTCAACCACTAGAACTTATAAAAAGATAGCTACTCAGAACAGCTTCTACTGGTAGGAAAGGTTAGTTAACCTTCAGAAATTACCAGTTTTTTTAAGCTTCCCAAATAAAGATAGCATAAAAACTGCTATTCTGTATAAATAATAACAATTTCTCATGTTTTAATAATTTAAAGCATTTGGCTCCCCCCACCTCCTTTTATTTTATTTATTTATTTTTATTTTCTTTATTGATTAAGCTATTACATATGTGCCGCTTCTGGCTTAAAAAAAAAAAAAAAATCTACTTTGTTCAAACTACCCAAAAGCAGCCAAAGGCTGGGACCTATTGCTTTAGTTAACCTGAGAAATCAACTCCAGAATCACAGAATTTCAGCATTAGAAAGGGCCTTAAAAGTCACCTAATCCAACTCACATAAAAGTCAATAGCTTACTTATTTTGGTAATCCTCACCTGAGGATACTTTCTTTTCCATTGATTTTTAGAGACTGGAAGGGAGGGGGAGAGACAGAGAGAGAAACATCGATGTAATTGGTTGCCATCCCCACACTGGTGGGAGCCCAGGATTGAGCCCACAGCCAAGGAACCAAGGTCCATGTCCTTCACTGGGATAGATCCTTCAACTCTTCAGTACATGGGCTGATGCTCTAACCACTGAGAAAAACTGGCCAGGGCCAGACCTGTCTTTCTAAAATAGCATCTTTATTACATCTCATCCCAGTTCAGTAATCTTTGATAGTTCCATATTGATGACCATATCAACTATAAATTCATCTGTCTGGCTTTCAAAGCCTTCTAGATCTGGCTCCTATTTTCCTTTCTAATTTTGTGTTAATTTTCCTTGTCTATAATATCATACCTGCTTTCCTCCTCTCACATATCCTCTAAGATCAGCCCCAATCTTACCATTTTCATGAAGCTATTCTTAGCTGAGATCATCCAATCTCCCTAACTTTTCTCTTGCTCTCTCTCCTTTCTCTCTCCTACCCACAATAGTCTGCATCATACAACACAATTCTGAACACACCCTAACACTTGATTCTAATAAAAACTATTTTGCAAAAAGTTTTATCTAACCTAAACTGATCAGACCTCTAGGAAATACAGAGACAAGAAGAACATGTTAAGCAGCACCATGGGAATAAAATACGCAAAATTCAGACCAAGGGAAACTACATGGTAAATTACCCGATTTCTTAAAGATGTTTTCATTGATATTAGACATAGAGGAAGGGAGATGCAGAGAAAGAAACATCAATCGGCTGCATACACCCCACTGGGGATCAAGCCTGAAACCCCTGCATGTGCCCTGACCAGGAATCCAACTGGCGACCTCTTGGTTCAAGGGACATCACTCAACCAAGTGAGCCATACTGGCCAGGGCTTGACAACATTGTTTGTTTGTATTTTTTTTGTTCATTCTCACCCAAGGATATTTTTCCATTGATTTTTTTTTTTTTTTTTTAAGAGAGAGAGTGAAAGGAGGGAAGGATGGAGAGAGAGAAAGAGAGAGAGAGAGAGAGAGAGAGAGAGAGAGAGAGAGAGAGAGAGAAAGAGAGAGAGAGAGAAAGAGAGAGAGAGAGAGAGAGAGAGAGAGAGAGAGAGAGAAAGAGAGAGAGAGAGAAGAGAGAGAGAGAGAGAGAGAGAGAGAGAGAGAGAGAGAGAGAGAGAGAGAGAGAGAGAGAGAGACACATCAATTGGTTGCCTCCTGCATGAGGCCGCGAAGTCAGTCTGAACCCGCAACCCAGGTACATGACCTAAACCAGGAATCGAACACGAGACCCTTAGGTCCAAGGGCCGACACTCTGACCACTTAGCATACCAGCCGGGGCAGGACCTGATTTCTTCAATAAATAGGCTGCAGGGATGAGAGGTGGGGAGATGGAGGGTGAATTTATAGCCTTAAGAGACATGTCAACTGTTTGCCAGTGGAACATTATATAAATCTTGATTAAATAAACTGAAAATTAAAAATAAATATTTATATTTATGAGACAATAGGAAATCTGAACACTGCATTTTTTATATTAAGGAATTACTGTTAGTTTCTTTATACTTTAGAGATGTAATGATATTGTGCTATGTTAACTGTCCTTATCTTTTAGAGATGGATACCAAAAATTCAGAAATGGAAAAATACATAAATAAATAAAATAATATGTAATTCCTACCCCAATCTCATGCACAACATGGACTGTACATTATGGCTAACAGCTTTAAGACCTACTTCAGGATCTAAGTCTGAAACCTAAATTATAGTTAGATGCTAAGTATGACTGGAATAATTGATGCTATTAGGTGACATGGAAAATGTGAACTTTGAAAAAAGAAGACAAATTCCAAATAGACTGACAGCTCCCAATACTTTCCAATTTTACATAGTTCAAGCCTGTTCCCATCCTTCTTTCAGTTACCAGGCTCCCTGGAAATCCTATCTGATTCTACCTTCTTCCTCATCTCACTCAGCCAGTCAGTAGCTGTCCACTTATGTGGATCTGTTCTCTGCAATAGCTCTCCCAACCATCTCCTTCTCTCCTCTATACACTTGTTAATACATCTGTTCTATATACGTAAGTACCTCCGATCTAGGCACTTACCCCTGTCCTCTCCAACTCATCTTATAGCCAAGTTTTCCTAAAGCTCAGCTCTTATTTTGTTACTCCTCCATTGAAACATATGTGGTTTCCAAATATATAACAAAACCCAAACTATATAGACTCAAAGCTATATTTCAAGGACCTTCAAGATATAGCTCGTTTCAGCTTACCTTTACAATCATATTGCCCACTATTTTAATCCAATCAAATTAAACTATTTTTTTTTTTAATTTAGTCTCTCCTCTAAGCTCCAAACTGTAACTGGTGCCTATCTGAAATCTCTTGGATATCTCAAATACAGTCAATTCTATTCTACCCAAACTGAACTCATTCTTAGTCCTGTAAATCTAGCCCAGGTGATCCCTATGTTATGTAAGCCAGATAACTAGGAGTCATCCTTAGCACCTCCCTCTTCCTCACCCCTAATTCACACCTACCACTAAGTCCTGTAGATTTTACTTCCTAAATCTCTCCTTAATTTCTCTTTACCTGCTCCACTACCTATTTCCTAATTGATCTACCCATATTTCTAAGGTTCCCTCCAACCTGTGCTCCACACTGAAGTTAGAAATAACCTCTTAAAAAATGCAAACTGATATCATCCATCCCCACACACCTAACCCCCTCTTGCTTACAGTTCAAAATGACTTCCCTATAGTTTAGCCCCAGTCTACCTTTCCCATCTTATCTCAAACCTGCCTCACTTTTGCTCTCCATACTCCAGCCACACTGATGTATTTTTGTACCTCATACTCAGCAGGTTCTCCACTAGCAGGTTCTTCGCACTCCTTGCTTACATATCCTTATCCTTCAAGTCTCAGTTTATCATTGTTTCTTGAAAGAAGGCCTTCCCTGATCTCCCTACCTAGGTCAAATTCTCCATTACTCAAACTCAGAGCGCCAGTGTCCTCTCAGCCCAACATACCTGTTACTTGACATTTTTTTATTTGCATATGAAGAAGGCAGGAATATGCACAATAAGCTAAGGGAAGGGGGGGGGGGGGGGAATGCAACAAAACCGGAATTCTATGACAAACAGAACTAAAGAGACACACCATCAAGATGGAACTAGGAAGAAGTTGGCAAGGAAGTAGCCAATAATAGTGGGGCAAGGCAGTGTTTTGATGGTTAAGCGGTGCCGATTGATATCCTGAGAGGTAGCAGAATGCCCAAGATCACACTCTCTTATAAGCCTGAAACATAGCAGAAAGAATTAGAGAACCCGGGTGAAAATAAAGAAGAAAAAAAAATGATTATAAATCAGATTTTGGGAAAGGTTAGGTGAAATGTGAACGTGAAAACCGAAATACGAAAGCAGGAAGATCTAATAAAGCCTATTTGGAGGGCACCGAGAAAGAAAAAAGGAAGAAAAAAAAAAAAAAGAAAAAAAGATGCGAGTATTGAAGGAACAACAATAGGGTGGTCTGTCTTTAAAGGGAACGACTATGAAAAGTAGAACGAGTGATGGAAACGATACCATCTGGTCCTTTAAAAAGTATCACGGAAGTAGAGTGGGTTAAGGAGCAGAACTTCCATCCTAAGAGATGTTTATGGAGGGGCAGAGGAGAGGGAAGACAGTGACGGGCGCACTGGGCAGGCGGGATGGTGAAGCGAGGCGCCTGCCTCCAGCCGCGATGGGCAGCCCGGAGAGCGGGGCCGGGGCGGCGTGCCCCGCGCTCCCCCTCACCTTGGCCTTGTAGCTGGGCAGGTTGCAGAGGATGTCCGTGCGCAGCGCCTCTTCGGCCAGGCTGCGGGCGCACAGGCTCCGCCACACCTCGCTGTTCTCGTCGCCGTGCAGGCAGCGGTACCAGTGCTTGCACACCAGGGCGCAGCTCCGCAGCTCGGACAGCTCCAGGTAGGAGAACACCAACTCCAGCACCCGGCTGGGGAGCCGGCCCCCGGTCCCAGAGCCCGAGCCGCCCGCCGCGCCGCCGCCGCCGCCACTACAGCCAGCGCCGCCGGAGGCTGCCCCAGCCCCCGGGGCCGGCGCCGCCATCGCCTCACCAGCCGGCCCGAGGGCCGCCGCCGCCGCCGCCGCCTCCCCCCGTCTCTGCTGGGGAGGCCAAGCCTCGTCTAGAACCCGGAGCAGCGCTCACCGCCCCTTTCACAGCTCACCGCCGGCCCCTCCGCCACTCCCGCCCCTGCCCGGGGGCGTCCGCCGCCGCCCCGCCTCACTGAGGGCAGACGCTCCCGCCCGCCCGCCCGCACACACACAGGCGTCCCCGCCCCTCCCCCGCCGTTCAGCGCGGGCGTCGGAACCGCCCGGCTCGCGAGGCCTCCGGGAGGCGCGCCCGTGGCCCCGCCATGCGGGTTGAGGGCACGAAGCAAGGGCGCACGCCCAGCCCGCTCGCGCTTCCGCTCGCCCCGGAAGTGACCGTTTGGCCGAGGCGCCCCGCGCCCTACGCGGCACGGGATTGGGCGCCGCTGGGTGAGGTCATCACGGGGCGCCGCGGAGGGACGCTGGGGGCGCAGGTAGGTACGAGTTCGGCACCGGTGGGCTAGAGATTGGCCTGCCGTTCCTTTCCCCTCTTTTGGGTCTCGTGGTCCACATGGGCTTCCCCGGGCTTCTCTTCCTGCTAGCCTTCTCTGTGTCAGCGAGGTCCCCGGCGCCGGCGCCACCCTGACGCAGGCAGCTTCCCTCGCCGGGCCAGCCCCTTCCTGGCTCCGTCGCCTTCGGCCGAATTGATCTCCGTTCTTTACCTTCGGCAGCCACGGTGGTCTCTTCCTGGTTGGGCTCTCTTCAGAAGGTGTGACCCAGCGTGCGTTCGGAAAGTAAGGTCGCTGCTCTTGAACTTCCCTGTCCCAACGTGCTCCAGGCTTCCCTACAGACTAAACGATTGATCAGCAGGAGAATTAAGGCAGAGTGTTCTTATTTAATTAGACATTCCAACGGGAGAATGAGTTGGAGACGTCATTATGGAGGGCTTCTTGGAAGGGAAAGAACTTCAGCATTATTTGGTCTTACTGTTTTTTTTTAGTTGAAAACTTTACAAAAGGTTTTATGGCAACTTTTAAGTGTTATTCAGTAAGAGAAAATAATAGCTATCGTGTGAGCCAGGCATTACGAGGGTCCTTTTATGGTGTTTTTTTAAATGTAATTCTCAAATAACTCTCCGAGGTGATAATTACGATGACAGGGTTCATAGATTTCTTTAGTAGTCAGTGCCACTGTCTTGTCTTTAGGTAGTAAGAATTCTTTCCTCAAACTCATAATCCACTTCTTGTCTACCAGTAAAAATAAAAGGACTAGTTGCGTGCCCTTTTTTCCAGGTTTTTCTTTTTTTCTTTTCTTCTCCAACACTCTTAGTAACCCAGATTCTTTTCATTCTTGTTAGTGCCAGTGGCACAGCCCCTTCCTTAGTCGTTTTGGCTGCTAACCAGCTTCTCCACATCAAGAGCAACTTTGGGCCGAAACCGGTTTGGCTCAGTGGTAGAGCGTCGGCCTGCGGACTGCAAAGTCCTGGGTTCGATTCCGGTCAGGGGCATGTACATTGGTTGCGGGCACATCCCCGGTAGGGGGTGTGCAAGAGGCAGCTGGTCGATGTTTCTCTCTCATCGACGTTTCTAGCTTTCTATCTCCCTTCCTCTCTGTAAAAAATCAATAAAATATATTAAAAGGGGAAAAAAGCAACTTTGGAAAACTCAAGCATATGAAGAAAAGCTGACCTATACTTACTACAGTGATAATGACTATGTGGTAGCTTAACCTCAGTCTTCGGAGTTTTACTCACTTTTCAGCTCTCAACCATAGGAGAAATCTGAGGAGAAATCTGAGGAGAAAGACCAGCATTTGTCTGGGAAGATACTTAACTTTTTCTTTTAAATCTTCAAGAAATATGTAGAATTGATACACTTGAGAAAGGGGCAAAGAACCAGACCGAATAACAGTTTTAAAGGTACAGATAGCCGAGACCGATTTAGCTCAGTGGATAGAGCGCAGGCCTGCGGACTGAAAGGTCCCGGGTTCGATTCCAGTCAAGGGCATGTACCTTGGTTGTGGGCACATCCCCAGTAGGGGGTGTGCAAGAGACAGCTGGTCGATGTTTCTCTCTCATCGACATTTCTAACTATCCCTCTCAAGTCCTCTCTGTGTAAAATCAATAAAATATATATTAAAAAATAGCCGAAACTGGTTTAGCTCAATGGATAGAGCATCAGCTTGGGGACTGAAAGGGTTCCGGGTTCGATTCCGGTCAAGGGCATGTACCTTGGTTGCGGGCACATCCCCAGTAGGGGGTGTGCAAGAGGCAGCTGATCGATGACTCTCTCTCATTGATGTTTCTAACTCTATCTCTCTCCCTTCCTCTGTGTACAAAATCAATAAAATATATTTAAAAATATATATATATAATATTAAAAAATAAAAAAATATATAAAGGCACAGATACTTGAATAACTGGGTGTGTGGCAGTATGACTGGAACAGAGTGTTTAGAGATCACTCAGTTATTAAAGATGATGCCCTTTATTCTGTGTTTTTTTTTTTACAGTGTAAGTGAAGTTGAGCCTTTTGAGGCTCTGATCGGGCAATTCTGATGCTAATCTACTCCAGTAATGAGGTGACGTGTGTGTGTGTGTGTGTGTGTGTGTGTGTGTGTGTGTGTGTACACCCCCGTGTGTGTGTGTGTGTGTGTGTGTGTGTGTGTGTGTGTGTACACCCCCCAGGTGGCCCAAGTAGAATTTCAAAATAGGAAAATATTTTCTTTATCATGCCTCCTCTCCTTTATACAAATCGTTCACCTGCTCATCACCCTCCTGACCATGTCCCATTCTTCACGTTCAACCTCATTCTCTGGTTGTTGAGAACAGCCAACTTTTGCACTCCACCCTTTCTAAAAATTCTCTCAATGTACCTCACCTTTCCCAACCCACTCATTAGGTGTTGGAAGGAATCTATTATCTAATTAAAGTAATTCACAATAGGATATGATTAATAGTTGTGCGTGACCCTTTAGGCATCTGGTATAAGAGGTTTGTTGACTTGAAACCTAAATGGGGGGATAGAGGCACTTAACCTATTTCTGGTGGGCTTTCCAGTCCTCATAAGAGAATCAAGAAACAGTGGCTTGACAACTTATTTCTAAAAGATTGTTTTGATTCAATGCAGATTTAATTAAAATTTTTCCCACTACCTTTTACTATAGCAGTTTGATTGTTTAAAACTTTTTGATGGTGGTCTTTGTGTATGTTTCAAATTAAGTAATTTTGGGGACTCTGGTTGAGTTATGGATTAATACTCTACGTGATAAATGTTGATTAACAAAAATCAAAAGCCTCCAGTGGCCGAAACCGGTTTGGCTCAGTGGTATAGCGTCGGCCTGCGGTCTGAAAGTCCCAGGTTGGGTTTCCGTCAGGCATGTACATTGGTTGCGAGCACATCCCCAGTAGGGGGTGTGCAAGAGGCAGCTGATTGATGACTCTCTCATCCATGTTTCTAACTCTCTATCCCTCTCTCTTCCTTTCTGTAAAAAATCAATAAAATATATTTAAAAAAAAAAAAAAGCCTCCAGTTTATGAATTACTGGGCCTTTCCCAACTTTTTTTTTTAACATTCCATGTATTAGGTCTCTGTCATTCTAACTAGCTAGGTAATCAGTAAATACTATCCATGTGATATAGAGATTATAAAAAACAAATTAAACTTTTTTTAATTTAAATTCTTTATTGTTTAAAGTATTACATAAGTCTCCTTTTTCCCCCATTGACCGCTGCCTGGCCACTTTCACCCCCCAGCACATGCCCTCATCCCCCTGCTATCTGTGTCCATTGGTTATGCTCAGGTGCATGTGTGCAAGTCCTTTGCTTGATCTCTTACCCCCTAACCTTCCCAGCCTTTCCTCTTAAGTTGGACAGTCTGATCGATGCTTCTATTTTTTCATCAGTTTATGTTGTTCATTATATCCCACAAATGAATGAGATCATATGATATTTATCTTTCTCCTGCTGGCTTATTTTGATTAGCATAATGCTCTCCAGTTCCGTCCATGCTGTTGCAAATGATAAGAGCTCCTCCTTTTTTTATACCAGCGTAGTATTCCATTGTATAGATGTACCACAGCTTTTTTAGCCACTCTTCTGCTGATGGGCACTTAGGCCGTTTCCAAATCATAGCTATGGTAAATTGTGCTGCTATGAACATAGGGGTGCATATATCCTTTCTGATTGGTATTTCTGTTTTCTTGAAATATATTCCTAGAAGTGGGATTACTGGGTCAAATGGAAGTTACATTTTTAATTTTTTGAGGAAATGCCATACTGTTTTCCAAGTGGTTGCACCAATCTGCATTCCCACCAGCTGTGCATAAGGGTTCCTTTTTCTCCACAGCCTCGCCAGCACTTGTTGTTAATTTGTTGATAGCCATTCTGACAGGTGTGAGGTGGTACCTCATTGTTTTGATTTGCATCTCGGAAAATTAGTGACTTTGAGCATGTTTTCATATGTCTTGGCTTTCTGTATGTACTATTTTGAAAAGTGTCTATTCAGGTCCTTTGCCCATTTTTTGATTGGGTTATTTATCTTCCTTTTGTGAAGTTGTTTGAGTTCCCTGTAAATTTTGGAGATTAAACCCCTATAGGAGATAACATTGGAAAATATGTTCTCCCATGCACTGGGCTTTCTTGTTGTTTGTTGATGGTTTCTTTTGCTGTGCAGAAGCTTTTTATTTTTATGTATTCCCATTTATTTATTTTCTCCTTGGTTCCCATTGTCCTAGGAGCTGTATTGGTAAAGATATTTGCTACACCATATGTCTGCTATTTTGCTGCCTATGGTTTCGTCTAAGATTTTTATGGTTTCCCATCTTACATTTTAAGTTCTTTCTCCCTTTTGAGTTTATTTTTGTGAATGGTGTAAGTTGGTGGTCTAGTTTCATTGTTTTTGCATATATCTGTCCCATTTTCCCAGTACCATTTATTGAAGAGACTGTTTTGACTCCATTGTATTCTCTTGCCTCCTTTGTCAAATATTAATTGAGCATAATGGCTTGGATTGATTTCT